GCATGCCGAAAGATATCTGCAGTCGTAGTACGTATTTTGGGAAGAAATATGACTTATAGACTTGCATTCATTTGGTTTCATTTCAAGCACCCTAAACAAAATTGGAAGATTATTTAATATTTTGAAAATTACAATTTTATATAGGAAAAAGACCATTTGATTATTACAACAATTTGGACAATTACCTTGATCTAAAGTCTTGCAATTCGGGAATGTCATCATTTATGAGCAATCTCGACGAACACAATGTATTGGACACCTCGATTTCACCTAATACATATATACATTAAAGTTGAATTGAATAATGCATGCAATAAAATAAAACAAATTTTTAAAATTGACATACTATTACCAATATTAGAATATTGTATCTTTGCAAACTGAAGTGCTACAATATATGGACCGTCAACATTTTCTTTAACATAGCGCAGGATAGCATGCGCCATTGTACCCCACAACACACAACGCAGCTTCAAACCACTACATAACACCGTTCAAGAAACCAATTATATTATTAAATGTAATAAACAATTACATAAATTTGGTAAATCATTTTCAATAATTCAATATTTGTCTTGAAAAATACCATAGGTCTTCCAGATCCAAGGTAACGTTCTCCTTTACCTCCCCATCCTTGGTGAACGTTTTTAGAACACCAATAGAAATCAACGAACCAATGATATCTGATAAAAAAGAAAAAAAAAATTTATTTAAAGAATAATGGGCATTAATGGAATGAAAAAAATAGTAAAAAATATTGCCTATGAGGAATTTGTTGTCCTCTGAAACATCACCAATGTTCGGATACGGCACAAAATTAAAGACATCGCTTGGTATATTTGGGAATGTTATTTCCCTAATCTTAGTGTTATAACCAAAATTTATTCTATATTCACCAATGCAATGCTTGTACATTATATTGTAGTATTTATTAATGAGTGAAAAATCAGAAATAAGATATGACTTATTCTTCACCAATTTCCCTTCGTACCTAGAACATAATGAAAGTTTGATGGTTGCCTGTACTCGGTCGCCCTATGAAAAAAAGTAATGAGGAATGGCAACGATCAATATAAAAAAAAATATATTAATACTAACTTGCTCATCGGCGAATATGAACTCACGCGAATCTCCATACTTCCTCTTGTCGATCCAAGTGTGTAGAACACGAACACGTATTTTGGGCGATTGTTTGTCCGCCCCAAGAGTATTAATTAATTCGTATTGACCGGCCATCTAAATTAAAATGAACAACGTAACATTAATAATATGTACAACGAAAATCATGCAAACAATGAAATCAAAACTAACTTTCGTTTAATAAGACAAACTTCTCTTAAAAACAAATCATAATAGTTTCATTATAAAAGTTCTAATATAGTTGTATAATAAATATAACAATGTCGAGAACAGCAGAACTGCGTTCACGTATTCATGTAATACTGACCTCGAGAGTTTGTTTAGGTAAATATTCAAGAAGAATCCGGTAGTGGTAAAAGCTTTTGTAGTAATGCGTTGAATGTGTGTGCATATACGTATGTATATATAGATGGATAGATATATAGAATTAAAATTGCAAGAGTGATTTACGTAGATCATTACCTAAAAATGATATTACCTCAATATGTGTATAATATAGACGTAATCTTTGCCCTATATATCAATAAAAAATATATTGTATCAATAAAGGACCGATATTTACACAAACAAAATAAAATAAAGGACCGATATAGATTGAAAGATGCCATAGATACATTATAAAGATTCAATTTTCTTACCAATATATAAGATAGATACTTAAGATTTATTAATACTACAAATATGGGAATCGTATCTATATATTGTCAATCAAAATTTGAATAAGGAAAAACTATTCAAGTCAAACATATTATATATATATATATATATATTTTATTGTATATATCTAAACCTGGTTTATATATATATATATATATATATATATATATATATATATATATATATACAAACATGGACGTAGTAAACAATCGAAAATTACGGTATAAACTAACCGAATATTAACTAAAATAATGAAAGAATGGAATTAGGGGATACAATCTTTTTTCTTGCCGTGTGCTTTGTTATATGAATGAGAAATAATGGATGTGGAGTGAGGTATTTATACTTATATTTTATGTAATAAAAGGTAAATAGTATACATATTTAAGGTAATCAATTATATGCATTAAATTGATACAATTAAAATTATTTCATTTTAGAATGTAATATAACATCAAAAGCTAACAACATCATCTCACGGATTTAATATATATAATTATGGAATATGCCATTTATTATAATATATAATTACATATATATCACGGATTTTAATTGGTATTAGATGACAAAATTAATGATTACCATAAAAACCTATATAATATTAAGGAAATATGTAATTGTCATAAAAAATGTCATTTATGTATTATATATTTACGGAAATATATACATATATTTTTAATATATTCTAATAAATTATTATGGAAAGTTATTATTAAATGGACATTATATATGTAATATGTAGTGACACATGGAGCATGATTAGGATGCCTAAGTGGACGGTGACATGGATGACACATGTCGTAATTCTAGGCCATGAGGGTTTCAATTTATATATTATATAGATTTCTTTCTTCATCTCTTTTTAATTAATTATTATTACTATTTGTTTTTTTTATTTTGTGAAGTTGCTCAAGTTTTTCATTTTTACCCAAAAGCCAAAATTAGAAAATTACATTCAGATATATCATATTAACTCTGAAGCTATGTAACACGTACGGAAACAACGATACTAGGAAACGGGGAAACGGACAAGTGAAAATTAAACGGTATGCCTAAAAAATGGGCATACTGGAACTTGGGGGAAACATATAAATATTAAAAGTATAGCGACATATTTATAAATATGCTATATAAATTTATATAAGTTTTTATGTATATGTAATTTTTTTTTATATATTTTCATACAAATAATTCAATATAAATATTACTATTATCAACTATCAATTTGAAATTAGTCATTAAATCATGTAATTAGTTAGAGAAGCAACAAAAATATTTGAAAATTTGCTATTTAAACATGTGTCTAACTTTTTAGAGTTTACAAAATGGCCCTTCGTCCGCCAGATGTCCTCGAGTTTCAGACACAAAACTTATCCAAAACATGGATACGTTAAAAAAGTGAAGTTTCCGTGCTACACAACTCCCAAGACATACTAAAATTTCTACTTCAAAAAGTATTTTTCAGAATTATGAATTAACACTTCATTTAGACATTTTACTATTAAATTTTAAAATAAAAGAAATCAAATATGCAATTCCGTAACTTGGGCTAAAAACCACAAGAAAACGGGTTGGGTCCCTATTATTGGAAAAACAAACCATATGAAAGAAAAGGGTAAATTACGAAAACCTCCTTTGAACTTAGGCTAAATAATCAAAAATACCCCTCCATCTATATGTAATAGCCAAAATCCTCCTCCGATTAACCGGTGATTGAGTTTTTTAATAGAAAATGTGTACAATTTATATATATTCTGTTAAATAAGTGAGAAATAAAAGAAAAATATCTGAAATTGTGTAAAGTCTATTCCCTAAAAAATCACACTGTAAGGGGTTGGTGTAACACGAAAACAAATCTCAGGGTTTTTTTGTAATTACGAATAGATGGAGGTGGTTTCTTTAATTTAATCTAAGTTTAGGGGTTTTCGTAATTTACCAAAAAAAAAAAAGGAAAAAAAGAAAAAGAGAAACAGAAGCCCTTCTCCATTTTGTCAATTATAACAGTCTCTCACTAAAACCTTGCAAGAACTGTGGCTTCCTAATTACAAAATTAGGGTTTTTGTAGGGTTTTAGTCCGTACTAAATTTTCTCTATCCAGTTCGTACAGTTACAGTTACAGTTCCAATCAATGGTGCGGAACCATGGCATCCGGCTCGCTCGCCGCCTCTCCTCATCGTTTCTCCTCCGCAAATCGCCTTCGCACGTACACATTTTACTCTCTCTCTCTCTATAGATATATATATATATATATATATATATATATATATATATATATATATATATATATATATATATCTATATGTATGTGGTGTATTATATATTATATGAACTACTGTGGATATGATGATGGATACTTGGTGAAATTATTGTAATTATCGATTGCAGTTATGTGATTCGTTATTGAAGGAGGGGTGCAGGAACTTCAGCACCAATCAATCTAGGATTCTTTTTACTTCTAATTGTGGAAATGGTACTGAATTTGGATCAGATATTTTTTTTCCAGTTTTTTTGGTAATATTATGTGAAACTGAAGATATTTTTCTGAATGAAATACAGTGGGTAATGAGAAGTATAACTTGAATCTAGGATTTCTCAGTGGAAGTTTGGGCGCAGCTCGGTCAATTCATGGCACTGGTAATTGTTTACCTATTGGACTAGTGTCTTTTTTTCGTTTCCTTTTTTACAGTTCTTGGTTCTATAGTTTTCATTTTGTAACTTAAATTTGATTATCGAGAATTGAAAAATTTGTAGCGTATTTACGCGAACTACAATTTCTAAGATACTTGGTCATGAAGGCATATATAGAAAAAAAAAGTATTTTTGTATTTCGTGTTGCGCATATGCTCGGTTAACTGATGCTTTTGTCCATTATATTTCCATTTCCTTTTTGGTCGTCCCTGCTTAGCACCATTATCGAGAGATTATTACGAAGTACTGGGCGTCAGTAAAAATGCAACCGCCTCTGAAATCAAGCAATCTTATTATGGGGTATTTTCCTCTCTCATCATCTTTTTACGGAGTTAGGAAATATATTCATTTCTTATTTTCTTGATTACGCAGGTGGCAAAGAAGTTACATCCAGATATAAATAAAGATGACCCAGATGCTGAAAAGAAATTCCAAGAAGTTCAGAAGGCGTATGAGGTACACTCTGAATGTTCTGGAAATTTGCTGAGTAAAAGTCCTAGATACTATCTGTGTATATTAACTTTATATTGTTTCATATCTCCAATTTTGTAGATTCTAAAAGACGACGAAAAACGTCAGCAATATGATCAGGTACCAAATACACATGTCTTAATGTGTATGTTGCTTTCCATTTTGCATGCGGTACATTGGTTGTGCGTGTAACGCTTATTTGCGATATTGGAAAGTGATTATTTCGTTTCATTTTATTTTCAGTTTTAAGTGGGCTTCATGATTTTCATTTACCTACTGCGTTGAATTTTTTTATGTTAACAGATAGGCCATGAAGCTTTTGAACGTGTCAGTAATGGTGAAGGTCCTGGGTTTAATCAAGGCTTTGATAATCCCTTTGATGACATATTTAACTCCGACGTGAGTCTTTGATGACGTCATTTCTTCTATTTTTCACTCCATAAACTGTCTCGTATGTCTGCTAAATTTTATTAATCTACTAAAATAATGAAATTGAAAAAAAAAAACTTTTCTTGAACTCTTGTTACTTATATTTTGGCGATGAATTTACTAAAAACTTTTTTAGTCATGAATTTACTAAAAAATATTTACTGACGATGCCGTGCAATAATCCTGGAGAAGTTTTGTTGAATGATGATAATATGAGATCTGTAAGACGTTATAGTGGCAAAGGAGGAGAGAAGAAAGAAATCATTCTACTTTGCAGATATTGCTTTTTGAGAATGGGATTTTTTGGTTATAAAGAGGTCTTGTTAAATTATGACGAATTTGTCAATCAGCCACATTTAACTGTTAACCAGCCACTTTGCAGCCAATAGGATTACTGAACTCGACATATTTATGTTTGCTAAATATTTTTCATTCTTGTAATTTCTACTCTCACTATTTTTTTATAACCTATCAATGAGTTCGAGTGATTTACTTTATCCTTGTATGTCTTGCTGTACTCTGTTGTGGAGATCAGTTTTTCAACTTGTTCAACAGAGAAATGGGTGGCGAAGATGTCAAGGTTATGATTTTATTTATTTATTTTAATATTGAACATTATGAAGTTAGTGGAGTTCACTGAATTCTCACATATCTCAGCCATCGAAATGCAGGTTTCAATTGAACTTTCATTTATGGAAGCTGTCCAGGGCTGCACCAAAACACTGTCATTCATGACTGATTTGGCCTGCGATACTTGTGGTACTGCTATACGCGTTTCCTCAAAATAACCCCAAACAAAATTAATGAAATCCCTTTTGCTAATTATTATCGTTTTTTGATCTTTTTAAGTTCGTTCATTTAGTATTCTTCATTGATGTTTTTTTCTTCAGGTGGAACTGGCGTTCCTCCGGGTACAAGGCCTGAAACTTGTAAACGTTGTAGAGGCGCTGGCACGGTGATTGCATTTAAATCACAGCAGTACTTTTTTCGTATTGAGGAAGATTAATAATTTTTTTTTTTTTTTTTACATCGCCAGGTTATATCCCAAAATGGACCTATTACATTTCAAGCTACTTGTCCACATTGCGGGGGATCTGGAAAAATTGTAATGGTATGTCTATCTATAGACATGTCTTTCAGAACAGTTTTTATGAACTGATGATGAAAATATATTTATGAACACAAACTTCTTTCGTGTTAATGACAGAGCTTCTGCAAGTCTTGCAAGGGTAAGCGGGTAGTGAAAGGGTCGAAAACAGTGAAGATGAATGTCGTGGCAGGTAATTTCATAGAAAATCATCTTTGGTTGCATATCTACTTTTTTTTATTAACCTTGCTTAGATATTTCGTATCAAAGCTCGCTTTAACAGCTCTGGAAAAATCGGAGACAATTGTTTTACAAATTTTAATATCTTGATTTTCTTGTTAAAGCAGTCGATTAGTTGTTTAGAGCATAAATATGGTTAGTTTAGTATTCCCATGGATGATTTTGGGAGAATCCCTCAACAATACCATATTTATTTTTTAAACCAACACTTATTCCATAAATTTTATCGTTCCTGCATGGCTTACATGGCTTTTTCTACTATTACTTAATTTGCTTTTGTAATGTTCATCGATTAGTACTATCCTTATTCTGCATTCGCACTCTTGATATGCAGGGGTGGACAACAACGAAACTATCAAAATTCCTAGAAGTGGTGGAGCAGATCCTGATGGAAATCACCATGGTGATCTCTTGGTTATGATCAAGGTTGCTCGATTAGCTCCATTACTACCCCTAAAGTTCCTCATCTTCGTTTCGAGTACAGTTTGAATGTGGTATATAACTTTGGTTGTATTTTACAGGTCAGAGAAGACCCAGTGTTCCGCAGGGAGAAGGCCGATATTCATGTTAATGCAGTGTTGAGCATAACTCAGGTAATACTTACGAGTTAATACTGTCTGTCAATGGTAAAAAAAACAAGAAGCCTTTGTGATTTGGGGTAACTTTTGATGCTTGCATAGTTACATGTACTTGTGTGATTATTGCACAATATACTACTTCGGTAAAATGCAGTTCTTTTACTTCGAGAACGATAGAGATTGACCTTTGTGTGGATGTCTCTTAATGTGTATGAATCAGCGATTATATTCTTTTGCAGGCACTTTTGGGAGGAACAATCCAGGTGCCAACTCTTTCTGGAGATGTTGTCGTTAAGGTATGTCTGAACTTTATTTGTTATTTATTTATTTATTCTCGAATAATAAATTTGATAACACAAACATGAACATGGTGGTAGCACCTCACCCCTACTTACGGTTATCTGGTTTTGTTTGACGGGAAATATTCTTTTTTCTAATTTCTTTTATGATCCGTAGGTACGCCCTGGCACTCAACCTGGCCAGAAAGTTGTCTTGAGGAAAAAAGGTAACACTTTTATCTGGACATATAGCTATGTTATTTGATTCCTTAATTAGCTAGTCAAGGTTTATCGAGTTTTGTGTATTACATGCTCATGTCATATGCATTACTGTTTTAGTATATGTACTACCTTCCTTATTATTTTTGTTGTAGTAGCATCTAGCTGTGCAATTATAATACCTGATGTTTTTTTTTTTTGTGCAGGGATCAAAGTCAGAAACTCGTTTTCATTTGGAGATGAATATGTTCACTTCAACGTCAGCATTCCAACGTAATTACTTGACTTGGACTTAGTTCACTTCTTTCTTGTCCTCTTCATTATGTGTAGCTTCTTATTTATTATTCTCTTGGAATTTCTCAAATAAAACTAGTATATGTTTCAAATTCCAATATGACCTTTCTAAATATCGATTTGTCCATTGTATCAGAAATTTGACGCAAAGGCAGCGCGAATTGATTGAGGAGTTCGGTAAAGAAGAGCAAGGGGAAGATTATAAAGGGGAAGTTGCAAGTGCATCAGGTTGAACGCAGTAGTATTGAAGAAAACAAAATTTATTAATTTGCCCTTGCATGATTTTTTTTTGACAAGCAATTTCGACTTAAAAAGGTGGACAAATGAGCTATTATATTCTTTTTGACCTTTATACCCTTTGATAGGTATGATATGTAGTATTTATTGGTACTGAACTGTATTTGTTATAGTGTTATTTGAAAAATAGGTCGTCTATCTTTGTGAATTCACTGTGTTGTACATAAACATATTATTTATAGTGTTAATTTTCGATGGTTTATTACACCTATATAAATGAAAATATCTCCTATGGATCGATCGTTTCTCCTGTGTTGTTATTTTCTCTATAATTATATTCAATCATTTACATTCCCCACAATCATCAAACAAAATAGTTAGATTAAATACGCAATTTTACAACATAATAAAACAAAAATACACGTATTTCTAATCAACATAATGAGTAAACCGAAGACAATGTTTACATAAAGCAAAATTATTTTGAGCAAACTTGTTGAAACACCCTATCAACAGATAAAAGGTATTTTTCACAAGTACAACATGTATCTAAACTCAAATCATGGAGGTGTTGCATCATTCAACTCCCAAAAAAGAACTAACCTAACAAAAATTAGACAAAAAATTGAGCATTACGAGTTTTAGAAAGAAAATAGACTTTTTTTCGGGTTTGAAATTTCAAGAAGTTGGTTTGGATTTTGTTTTCGTCTTCTTTGCAGCCAAACCCGATCCTAATCCAACCGGAGCCTGTTCTTCAGGACCTTTCACTCCATTCGAAATGTCACCGGAATATTCTCTTTTCCCCTCATCAACAGCCTCGTTTACAGCAGCAGGTGTTGACCCTGAGTTGACTATATTAAGGAGCTGAGTCAGCGGCTGTAAGGCCTGTGTGGGACCCACTTGTGGGCGTGTCAAAAGACCCTTAGCTGCTGCTTTCTTCCTTATTTCAGCGGCAGCTTTAGCGGCTCTTTCATCAAAACCCCTTCCTCGTGGAAGAGTTTCACCACCACCGTTTGATGATTGGTTGGCGGAGCCGCCAGAACCTCCGGCTTTAGCGGCGGCAGCTTGAAATGCTTGTATCAGGTCTGGATGAGCCTGAAGTACACATATCCACCATTTAGATATAATCACAAGCGTTTACTCGAACAGTTAATTCAATCACGAAAAAAAAGATCCCGGTAATTTTTGTACCAATATTCACTTATAGCAATCAACGCAATAAGGTTTTGTCTAAGAGATAAGACCAAGGCCTCATTTAGGAATAATGATATTGATTAATTGAATTGGATAGGATTACAAAAATGTGACTAGCTTATGTTTAAGGTCTATGATTATACAATTCTTGTATTGAATAATATCCTTTCATAGCATTGTGTAATAACAGGGGTTAATGTTGGACTCGATATGCTTGATTAAATCTCGGGCCCATTTTTAATCACTGGATTCAAACCTAAACCCCAAACATTGGATACATCTTGATTATATATTGTCTAAAGGTCTAAACACTGAGATGAAGAGCTTCTAGTTTCAGTTCCACATGCAATTATATAGAGTATTGGTCTACTCTTTGCAGATGATGCTTTTATTTACAGACATCGATTCTAACTAATTTATCTTTCATAGTCACCAAGAAGGTGCTCTGCAGATATCTGAATTTATATTAAGGGGAATATACGAATTTGCCGATTAATTAAGGGCCACTGGCAAAAGTGTAGAATGAATGTAATAAATACCTTTAGTAGATCAATAGCCTTTTGAGCAGAGGCAGAATCCAAAGCTTGTCCTTTCTGCTTTTGTGCATTCATCTGTCAAACACCAATAATATCAAACGACTAATAATAACAAAAACGTAAAAGAAAAAGAAAAATGAATTCACAAGGTGACTAGGATGGAGTATTACTTGCAGCTCACGCGTCTTAAATGTTTTCATCCAGTTTTGAGAATCCTTTGTCCTAGAGTCATCCTCACCAAGTTGTTTTACAAGAATATCATATGTTTTCTTCTCATGCTGCATAGACAATAACCCGATTATGTAAATGGCCATATTTGTAATTTCTCAACACATCGTAAGTTCAGAGGCAACATATTGTCGAGATTTGGCACAACAACATACCTGGTGAGAAAGCTTGAAGGCTCCCATACAATTAAATGCAATTGCCAAAGCATGATAACACACAGCGGTTTGAATATGTTCCTTTCCGAGCAATCGTTCATTTTTCTTCAATGCTTCTTGTAAGTATCTAAGTGCTGTATCCATTTTTCCGATATCTTGATACATCATTGCGACATTTATGAAAGTAGCAGCAACATCAGGGTGATCTGGGCCAGACGACAAACTCAACAAAAGCAATGCACGTGACATGTGACGCAGTGCAAGCTCTGTTTGGCTAAGACCATGGTAGAACAAAGCCATATTCCCATAACTGTAAGAAATAATATGCTTCAGAATTAAGACAGAATCTTAAGGCCACATAAGATCAAGAAACACACATACAGGGATGGAAATTGGACGGATCGGATTGGAATTGGCACTAAAAGCAAAATTTCCAAAAAAAAATTCGGAATTGAAAAAGTAGTTCCAATTCCATTCCAAAAAAGTTCAGAAAAATTGGAAATCGGAATTCCCTTTTTTTAAGTCACCTAATATAGAGTACATAATAATATTGATATTATAAAAGTACTTTTCGAAAAAAAAGAAGAATTTTTTGAAAACATTTTACATATAAAGCGGACTGGAAATCAAAATCTAATATGTATTTCAATTCCATTAAAAAAAATCGGAGTGATCATAAATTAGAACATTCGGAATGAAAAAATATTATTCCAAAATCGAAATTATTCGGGTCGGAAGAGGTGGATCAATTTTTCACCCCTACACATTACAGAAAAGGCACCCCAGTTTAGCAATTTTTGCTTCTCCGTTCTTTTAGTTACAGCATGAACAATATTTCGCAATGTTAGGTGTGATATAATCAGTATAGGTACTAACATACAACTTGAGGTGGCTCAACAAAAAATCAATCCCATCTAAAATCCCTGTATCTTTTAAACAAGGTAACAAAAGTAACCATATAGGTGTACATGCATTATAAAGAGGTCAGGCGTAGAAAATCGATATACTTGTTCGTGGAAAACATTGAGATGACCAATAAATAACATGAATAATAAAAGATTAAACGAAAAAACGGATCGTGCCTGTGAGCAGTGTCAGGATGGTCGAGTCCAAGGCACCGTTCGTTTATGATTAGTTCCTTATGCTGTTGCATTATTGCTCCAGACATATCTCCAGCATGATACAAGACCATTGCCAAGTAGCTGTAAGTTGTAACCGAAAGGTAAATATCAGTAGGAGGAAGAAAAAAACAAAAAAACAGTAAAAAACAAAATTGATTACCGGCAACAGTTTGCAACCTCTCGATGCATTGGTCCAGTGACCTGCAAATTTTTAACTGTTATTGATTCTAAAAATAAAGAATACGATATATTGACCAACCAATAATGGCCGTACCTGCTGGAGAATTGTAAAAGCTTCAGAAAATAGGACGTATGCCTCACTAAGCATTCCCTGAGAAAAAACATTGACAGATAATTATAATTCTCAATCACTGTACACGTGTAGAGTAATCTGGATGTTCATACTTCATATTGAATGAATTTTACCAGCATAGTTACCTTAAATCTCTAATAAGACAAAACCAGTAAGCTATTTCTGAGAATTCTATTTTAAGTTACCAGCATTCATCTAAATACAATCCTCGATAACAAAGATGAATACCATTACCTAGGTGCATATGCATATTCTTACCCAGGTACAGCAAAGAGGTACATATAACTTGAATTTCATACCTCTGCTAGCTGAACTTTTCCGGTTTCAATGAGATCCTTGGCTTCTGAACAGACTGGAATAGAATGCTTCACTACTGGTTGGATATTCAATATATCTGAAACTTGGAAAGGCGCCACTGCATTGAAATCATACTTGCGAGCAGCAATGGTGATTCCGACCTGTTTAGGGGTCAATATACAATGATGAAAAATACGGACTTAAGTGCCAAAACATACAATGAATCCAGCATGTGAAGAATGATAACTCAAGGCAAACTTCAATACTGAAGTTCAAATGACATGAAAAATCAAGGAAACAACCATTCTTGGAGCCACTGCCACAGAGAGTCATGCCTGCTGCAAATTGTTTGTACGTGTTCAAATAAAATTGGCAATCAAGCAATGAAACACTAAGATGCCCAAACATATATAAGGAAACTTCACAATAACTATCAAGTGGAACATAATAAAAGCATCTTGGATGTAAAAGATGCACGAAGTGTATGTTGAATTCAAGTTTATAAGTGTACGCATAGTGCTAATTAGTTGCATTAGTACGATATGTAGAACCCAAAAGAGAGAAGTTGTCAGAATCACAACATTCACTGAGATTCTATTTTTCTTTTCCTTTTTTTTTCTTTTTTTTTTTTTTTGGTCAGGGGGATATGAAACTGAGAGATACTTATAGTAACAATTTAACTATTTGGAAATTTCTCAATAAAAAAATTTTCATGATGAAGGAAGCTGGGACGATGTGCCCGCTGAAGGAACGCTTTTCGCATTTTCACATTCTTCTTTCTATGGACTGGAGAAAACGAGGCCAAAAAAATTACCTTTTGGCAAAGATTTCGTATAACTGCAATTTTCTTCACCCGTTCCCTTGCATCTTCTGGCAACTCAAACTGCAGAATATATAGTTCAACAAAATAAATATGCAGCTCTACCAAAAAAATATTAATAAAGTCAAATCCAAACACAAAAGACCTGGTATTTGAGTCTTGCAAATTCCTTGATGTCAGTCCACAAACTTTCAGAGGTAATACTCAAATACAAGGATTGCTTCTTTCTCGCATATCCTCCTTTTCCTAACTTATCTTGTCCTTTGGAAGACTTGCCTGAAGCATGGTTTCCCGAATGACCCTGCAAAGATATACACAATAGATATCAGATCAAATGCCAAAATATAAGTAACAAAGCACCAAATGCAGTAAAAATCCCATGATTTAACATTATAAGAATACTACTCGCCTCGCCTCACGTTAAATCCAGGCACAAAAGAATAACAAGTCCAGAAGTTAAAATAATTTTAAAGTATTGCACTGGAAAACAAGAACAGACGATAGTTTCCGTTGAAACTGAATTCGAAAATACACTCCGTTGAGCTTCAATTAGGTTGAAATTGAGAACTTTTCCACAAGTTCATTGACATATAGAGAAATATTAATACATGCAAATAATAAAACATCCAGATCAAGAAAGAGAAGGCTAACATGGATATTAAATTTCAGAAGACCAGTAAATGTTGATTAGATATACAAACACATCCATTACCTTCTTTGGATTTTTCGACAGTGTGCTGTTTGGAACATCTTTAGCAGAAACACCCTGAACTTTCCCTAACAAACAGTTAAAAAAATGTGAAACTGTGTTGCCAAGATCATGATCCTCTGTATCTCTTAAAGTGTCCTGCATGAACAAAAACTCGCCAATAAAGAAGCAGATTCATGTAAATCCAAAGAAACTACTGATATACTGCAGATCGTTTCACATTTATATGCAAGCTGAAAAACAATGGTGAAGTGCCTGATAAATTGGTAGTCACCTTGATAATATGCTTAGCAGATCTGACAACAATCTCATTGGAACAAAGATCCCATAAATGAGGCATATGTTTGGTCTCTTCAGCTACCTGCAGCACAAATTGAAACAGATGAGCACCTTCAATAGATGAAGATAAGCTTGCCTTCCTAAAATATAAGCAAATACAATATGAGAAAAAGGGATTACAATTTACAAACCATCAAGAGCTTGTTCTTACCTTTCCAATATAACGAACGTTAATACCATGAGCATGGAGTGCTTCAGTTAAAGTTTGTCCATCCATAGGTGAAACTTCGAGGCTGCTAAGATCGTGTATAAATTTAGGCAGTACAACATCTTTGAGATACAGACTTGCATTCCTCACATTTTCCTCATCTGCAGCTATGTCCTAGAATGGCGAACATTTTTTAACAAACTTCCAGAGTATTTTACCAAATGACAAGTTTTGGAAGATTGTATAAAGTACCTCTGTGTTCCCAGCTAGCTTAAATTCAGTAAAAACATTAGGATTGAAGAGTATCTCTTTGGTAGCTTGAATCTTCTGTTTTTCACCATCCATAGAATCCTGTCAAAACCCATGTACAGTCATATATGACCCCAAAACTAGGCAAAACAATGATGTAATAAACTATATGTTCATGCATACATCACACACAACAAAAATCATGTTATCCAACAAACAACAAACACCTTCATCAAATCTTGGCTTACCCATTCTTGGCAAAGTAAATTAGTACAATATGACAACTGAGCCTGTTAGGAATTCAATCAAATCTGAAATACTGAAAGTACATGAATGGTTCATTGACGAAAATATTGTTTTTTCCAGTACTTTCAGTGCAGAAATTGGTTCTCACTCTTAAGAGGTGCTAAACTTTGCATATGTACATGTGGAGTGCCAGTATTGAGTACTGTATGCATCGCCAACTTGGTCTATATTCATTTTCACAAGAGAATTCAATCTAGTAAAAGCCATGTTTCATCTCAAAGCATCTAGAAGTTATTCTCGCAAGGATCACCGTTACCTGTGCATCAATTGTTGCTGTTGCTGTATTTTCCTCCACTGTCACCAGTTCTTCAGCATTACTGGCACCCGAAGAATCAGAAGGATTCTCTCCTTCTGATACACACCCGGAGTTTGACTTCTCAGATGCTTCAGCCTTTTCATGCATAAGAACAAGATACAGTTTAAGAACTGGAAAAAAAGAACAAGATGAAGTTTTATTTACAACTGAAAAGCAAGATCTTACATGGCAAAAGGCAGTTATAAGCTCAGGCCTCAAAATACAAAATCTGGAGCCTGATCCAGTATAGTTTGCATCACGAGGAGTGGCCCTCATCAAGTCCAAAAGATAATGCCTGAACACGAGACGCAGCACCAGAATGAGGCAAGAAAATTATTACTAAGTTACATCTGCAGTCTACCAAGGAGATCGCCTAAAACAGGATTCTAAGTAGCTCTAAATTGTTCAGGAGGTCTAAAAGGAGAGAATGAACAGTATGCAGAAGAAGGTAAAATAACTATATAAGTGCACATTGATTAATCTCGCCGAACTTTGGCCAACTTTAAATGTAGCTAACACTTAACAAAGAACAAACATGGGCGATTGAAGAATGTGGCTATCTCAGATCTCAATTTGCGGCAAGGTTAGTGTACAAGCTATTCACCCAATGCGGAAATGGAATCACTTCATTAAATACATTTAAGATACTTTCTTATAGAGAAGAGTATGACAATTCATCCCACCCTTCGTGAAATGAAATTATCACATAAAATAGCGAGTAAAATCAATGGAGTAACGATTAATATTTTTCTTTAACAATGTATCCTTCAATTGAAACCAATAAGAATCCAGAAGATGTATTAACAGATTAACTGACTATGAAAAACTGTTGTTACTAGAAGTGCAAAATTTTCTAGCTTCAAATGAATAGACGACTATTCAACCATGAAAAGACAATATTTAAAGAGGCTGATGAGACTATTTACTGAACAATATGAAGCCAAATTTCACCTGTCATCGCTGCCAACAATGCCCTTGCACTCAACTGGTGCAGCTAGCGTGAAAACATTACCAGATCCATCTACCACAGAATGCTCCTTCAGATGAAGACGCTTGGCAGCTTCCAGCACCTATATATAATCGCAAACTAAGCATTATCACTGTGGTTCTAATGAGTTGACTAATAAAAGTTGGTATACGTATACATTCAGTAAATTCTAGATGAAAAATGCGATCCAAATAAATTGATGGTAAAATGACTTAGCTCTTTTCTACCTTGGAATGAAAATCTTCACTCCAGCAAATTTTCTTGCCATTGTCAACAGAACCGTATAGAAGGGAGTCCGATTTATCACCTTGAAGGATTCCAGGCAAGACACTCTGGCAGAATGATGGAATAATATTCATTAAGAAAAACATATGGCAATGTTTATCATCAACTTCTATTTAATTAACTACCATTTAGATATTAAATTCTAGAATTAAGTAGCTACTCAATAAGAAAGGCCTGAGAAGCACACACCAGATTGGCAGAGGGGGGGTAGACGATCAGGTAACAACATAAGATTCAAGTCGAAGAAATGAAAAAGGACACTTAATGACATAAGAAAAACCTTTTTTTTCTGTAGAAAGCTTTAATACATATAAATTAGCGAATATACACCTATCTTTTCCCCTAACACATAACTGAAACTCTATTCTTATCACTTCCAAATCCAAAATGGTAGTAAAGTGCACCTGCGCCACCACTCTATGACCTCTGTAATCAATTATGGCCATAGCAAGATTGTACAATCCAGGAACATCAGCTTCTTGGTATGCCTTTGTGCCTTTCAAGTCATTGTTAGCACTTGCATACGTGGCTTGCTCACTTTCAGCCAACTGAGCCTCTGCAGGCACATCAGAGGACAATGCCTTCTCTGCATGTGGAACAGAAGATCCATCCAAAGTAGAAACTTTAAGAGATCCATTTGGCAGATTGTTTTCTTTCTTATCAGAAGTATTTTGAGAAGTGCCTGTGGTTTCGACTTTAGAGAGCTCTTCCAAGGCCAACTTCTGGGGCAATTGTTCAACATCCGTATCCACAGCAAAACTGAAGAATATGTTGTTATGGACATACCTAGAATCCAACAAAACATAAATGTCAGCTGAACACAAGCTACAGTACAAGGCAGAAGAGTGTTTTATCTTAACACAAGCTATACAACAAGGAGTCCGAGTTAAGGCAGAAAATCAGCAGGGAAGGGGATACGAGAGGGCACTGGACCTTCAAATGTGAAAAGCTAGATACAATAAACGTTGCAAAAGAAGACTTTTTAAGGAGATTGTGATCTGCAGAAAAACTGAAATTTCCTGTGATTGTATATGGGTACAGGAAATAAGAAGCAATCATATAGAGTTCAAGCGAGCCACATACAATGTGTTATTATGTACAAGTCACTGTCAATAAATTAAATTGTAATCGGATAGTTGCAATGCCTATGTCGTTTCCTCCTAAAATTCTAGCAAACATAAACAATGTGTGCAGAAGAGTTCAGGGAAGAGAAAGAAGAAAAAAAAACACCAATGGTTTAAATAATATATGACTAGGATTTTAGAATAATTGCACATCGAAAGTACTGTAATATTTTCTAAGGTTTACTCACATGTGAAAGCATTCTGGATCAGTTGGATTAATAGGTGGGATGCATCTGCTAATCACTCCAATAGCTCCATTAGTTGCAGCTTCAACGAAATCAGAACTCACTTTGTAAAGAGCTCTATCTCTCAAGATCCTGCAGTAAAAGTATAAGCACTAAGTATACAATAAGAAAATCCTTAGTACTTTGACACTCAATAGTCAATTGATGTAAAAATATCTCAAAAGGCAGACCTTTCCTGATGTGTCGTATGTGGGAACTCCCTACAAGCCTGCAATTCTTCATTCCAGTCTCTCTGCATGCCGATCAGTTCGCTTCCGAAAGAAATTGTCAAAGCATTTTCTGCTCTAGCTGCATCACGTTTGTGATCTGAAACCACCAGCATTAGTAATGTGCTTATCAAAATATGAGATAAAAAATTAAGCTACTTTTTAGAGTGGTAGATATGAGATATAGAGGAAGGTTATTATATCGCAATTCTTCGGGCAACACTATGAAGATGTTATACCAAATCAACACCAGCAAAAAAAGAACATTGAATAGAAGGAAATCAATAATATCATATTTTAAGTGGTTTGCCTAAATAAGCCTACATTTTCAAGCGAAGACAATGCATCTACTAGAAGACAGGACAGTTGTCGTACTCTGTCAAAAAATATTAGCACACCCAGACTCCTTCTCGATTAGTAGTGAATCTAATCTTGCACATTATATAAACTTATATACAGCTTCTACAAAGTCTCCAGGATGGGTTAAGCTTCGAGGAAGACCAAAGGGTCTTTACCTCGCCCAGCCTTTTCTCACTGCATTAATCGCACAAATCTCCCTATTAAAAAGATGTATCAACATAGTCATATTGAACGGTAATAACGAGTATATATTCAGCAAAACGCAATATGAAATAATTATGTGCTAAGGGAAGTTCATACAAACATTAGAAATATTAGCAAAAGAATTTCAGAACAGTTTATTCCTAAAAATATAAGAACTAATGGGATAGCATATTTAAAGATGCAAAAACGTGAATTTTAGAAAATATGACTTAAATATAACTCAACGCTTTCGAAGATCTGTTGATGACTGGAAAAGGCAAAAAAATAATAGGAATAATATTTTAACCGAAGAAAGAATGGGAAAGCACCAATCTCCTTGAAGGATTCTTAAAAGCCTAAATCGGATATGAAATTGCTCAGCATCTACAAATATACAGAAAGAAAACCTTAAAAATGCCTAGTATCTATCTGCTGCTTATGACATATAAGCATCCAATAGACTGCAGAAACAAGTGGGCGTACCAGGAACAGGATACAAGCCAAGCCATGAATTTGGTGGCAAGAGAGATTGAACATTTTCAAAGGGATGTGCAGAGGCCTTGCGCTCCAAAATTTCACGAAAAGCTTGAATCATAGAAGACAAAGAAAGTGATTAATAGCAATCTGATAAGTATAAAACTTTAAACTAAAAGTGTTAGGCTGGTCAAAAGTAGCACCATATTCTGATACCTTTCTTGAATTTTGGACTGATCTTTTGCAGAAGTGCAACAAGGGTTGTTGCTTCTGAAGCAGCTTTGTTTGGCCTTGGATCAAGAATATTTCCTGTGCTGGAGTTCACATAGAAAGACTTTGTGGATCCCGTGACACAATGTTTATTTCCTTCCAGTGTTACCACATCTAGATAAATCAGGTCTCCATAAAGCCTGACATAACCAGAAAAGCAGTCAATATGTTAGCACAGATATTCAGCCAACAATGAGAACAATTAGAGTGAGCGAGAGAGAGGAAAGGCTATCAATTTAAACAACAGAAATTAATATCTTAATATCGTAATATAATTTGGAGTTAACTCAACCTTCTGTGGCCTGGAGGAGGATTGAATGAGGAGAAAACAATACTTTCAACACATTTAATCTCTTTGGAAGGTGACGAAAAAAAATTAGGCAGTGAATCTGTATCATTCTCCATGAAACCCAGCTTCTCGACTTCTGCCACTTTAGCTTTCACGGCCTCTACATATAGTCAAAGGAGAAGTTACACAATCTAGTCCCAAATGACACATAGATTTGAGAAAAAAATCAGATATTTTGTGTGTGTGTGTGTGTGTGGGGGGGGGGGGGGGGGGGGGGGGGGGCTAAAAACATAAATAAATTGATATAATAGCAAACCTCCTGAATTGGAATTGGCAGATGCATTTCGACTCATCTCATGTTGTAGTGCAAGCGTTGTGGACAAAGAAGAATGCAATGTTGAAAGAGAAAGTAACTCTCTAGTCCGGTGAACATGAGCTCTGATGGATCGATCATCGTATAATGCTGCAAGGGAATAGCCTTAATTTTTTAAAATCCATAACCAAAAGCAGAAACATGTTTTGCTATTACACATGCAATGCAACACTTGAAATAATAATCGAGAGAAACCAAACTCGTCCATGCCATGCCCCAAAAAGGTAATCATGGGTTGTTGGTAAGTTGCAGTTAAGTTAATGGTCACTAGTTGAGCAAATGATAATAGAAATAGAGTATTAAGCTTACCAGCAACCATCTCCAAAGAGCAGCCTCCCGAAGTAATATTAGCAACTTCAGAAATTTCATTGTAGTCTTCTAGATGATGCACAGTACCATCCTTTGTGTGCAGTAACAAATCATAGCAAGTGACAGGACATGTCTCTGGGGCATCAAGAAGGAACTGCCTAACATCCATTACAGAATCTCCAGGACTCAACTGTAATAAATTCCAATTGATTTAAATCCATGAAATGGGCATCCAAATACAGAAAACATGGGATATTAGCTAAACAGGAGACAGTAACCATATATTTGAAGATCAGATGACTGATATACATGAAGCAAACGAAAGCAATGGATTTGGATGCAGCTGCAAACAAGGGAGAACGTGTTCAGATATTCTAATTTCAAAGTAACAACCAAACCAGCTTACCTGCAGTTCAAGCTTCTCCCCTCCTTGTGTTATTACAGAAACGGGATACAGATGAACATCAGCTGCAAAAGAAGGAAACATCAATCAGTTAAGTATGTTAATGAGTTGATATTAAATTTCTTGGCAGCAGTCAGAAACAAAAGGGGAGAATGAGAAAAAATTTTGTACTACATTGTTTGATCTTAGGGACAAAATGGAAATTATAAACTATTGATGGCAGACAGTGTAATGAGGCAACAAGTATTTAACACAAACGAATAGCAATTAATCAACAATCATCAAGTTTTCAGCATTATAAGAATGGTTTCCTCTTCGTCAGTGAGCAAATCATTACACATCATTTACCTATGCTAAATGCTAATTATAAACAGTGTATTGCCAATATTTTAGAGTAACGGGTGTGTGCCTATCTTGTGTGTCAAGTCGCCACAATCAGGGTGAGTAACATATTAAATAAAATTGTTCTCAATTAGCATCAAATAAAAGAAAAGGTTGGAAAAATAGGTGTGTGCCTATCTCCTACTAAGTTAAAAAAACAAGCAGCAATTAACACAGAGAAAAATGCATTTTTTTACTTTACTTTGGCCATCGGCCTTCAATAGCAAACATGTTGGAAGATAGGAAATTTTAAGATCCTAATCTGATAATATTCTATTGTCAATTTATTTACTCAATAAAACGTTATGCAAATGATAGTGTTAAATTTCAAGTTCCAACCAACAAGCAGAAATGAAATAAGTTTTCAAAAGCTTGAAAAAGTTGATTGCGAAGAAATTCCCCCGTGCCAAAAAATAACATATCAATAATCTCACCTTGCTTCTCAAGATGCTCTTGGGATTCATTATCCTGTTCCTTCACCTCTGACTGTACTTCCACCGATTCGCTCAAATCTATATCTTCATTAGCATTAACATGTACGTCACTGGAACTATCATTTACGGGATTATCAGAAGAGACCGACTGCTCTGCAGAATTCGGAGCGCTTTGCTGCAACCCTTTACGATTCTTCCCTCTATTTGACTTTCCCCCCATCTCGGGATCCTTATATCAAGAAATACACACATTTGAAGTTAGTTAACAAGCACTGAGTTTCCAGCCAATTAGAAATGTACAAGAAACCAGGAACACAAAAAAGATAAATTACATTACGAAACGCGTGTAGACCAAATAACAAACTAAAGATAAACAATCCAAGATTCTCATTCACCGCCTTTCTCTTTCAAACAAACTAAACATAAACAATCCAAGATTCTCATTCACCGCCATTTCATGGTCAAAGCACAACAGAAAATCAATTGATTTTTCCAGTTTTCATTCATGTTCACAACACCAGCAGATACAGCACACAATTGATTAACCCAAATAACAAATAATTTCAAATAATTATATCGACAATAACCCATAAGAAAATTCCACGTCTCGCTTCAAAAATAACCAGAAATCCAAAATTATAAGATACGTAAAAATTCATAAACCGAAGTATACACAAATTGAATCGCATGTGATATGATTCATTGACGTATATCAGAGATGCGCACAATCAAATGTATTGACGTATTACCGATCGATGAAATGCGGGAATCGCAGCTCAACTGTTTGATTAAATGTCAAAACCAGAAGTTTGCGACGGTGGGGATTCCTTGCTCTGGGTTTTCAGGGTTTTGGGGGCTGAGGTTTAATGAATTTATGAGAGAGAGAGAGGGGGGAGTAGAGAGAGAGAGAGTAATTGGACTCATTTTATACTAAATTAATTATTATTATATATATTTTTCCATTTGTTATAGTTGGCTCTTGGAATTTGGATATCGTACTCATTTCGTAATTTATATTAAATGAAAATGGTAAATTATAATATTAAATTAAATGCAATTGCTAATAATCAAATCCAGAGCTCGAATGGGCTTTCACCCTTTCTTTTAAGCTTTGCTTTTCACGTGTGAGAAGAGACGATTGAAGATTTTGACTATCAATAATAAAGTAGGAAATAAAACAGTAGTAACTAGTAAGTAACAATACATATTTTTTAATATAAATGAAAAAAATATTTTGATTTAATCAAATTAAATTATTTGGTGAATTACAACCACCCCTCAGGTATGGTCAAATTACGAAAACTCTCCTCTTGTTTGGGTAATTAGAACCACCCCTCAACTATAAATCTTTTTCCACGTCCACCCTTGCGGTTTCAAATTTAGTGGAATCTTCGAGATTATATAGAATATTATCACTTTTGTACTCGTTTTATCACATTCGAACTCCACATTTTGAAGCAAGATGATCATAATATGTGTTTTTGGCTTGTATACATCAGTTTGTGGTGCATCAGAAACTGTATTTTTACACAAAACAAGTACAAACTAGAGCGCATTCCACGAAATTTAGATGGAAGTATGTTGAATTTGACACCATAAGGATGGAGGTGTAAGAAAAAATTACACTTGAAGAACAAAAGGATTTATTCGTTAATTGACCATACCTCAGGGGTGATTGTAATTTACCATAAATTATTTGATACTTAATTCTATATTCTTTTTTGTTAAAGATTAGTTCGAAGTTAGTTTGAGGTTTAAATATATATTTTTATTCGATAAGTTACATGAGTAGATTAAAAATAGGGTTAAATACAAAAACATCTATGAACTATGGACTTTATATCTGATGCTGCTCCAAAATGTTGGGTCAGCCGAATGGTCTTGAAGCCCACAGGTCTCCTAAATCCAGGAATCTTCAAGCCCAATATCGGGAATGCCGAGAGTCCTTGCCACGCGTCCGAGGTAGTCGAAGGGATCGCTCCACTCGTTAGCCTACAAAACAGTTAAAAACACTAGGTGACACGCCGGGGGTGGCCCAGCGATTGTCCTCCGACGCTCAAGTCAGAAAATTATCACAATATAAGCAAATAATATTAATTACTTGCCTAAATAGTTCTTACCTTGTTATGTGATTGATAACACATATTTATAGGTGGAGTTTGGTATGGTTTTCTTGTAGAAAACCAATGTGGGACAAAAACATTAGATTTCTTCCCATAGCTTCTTATGAGGTTCTTAATTAAGTGCCTTTGTGTTGGGCTTTTCCTTTGAATGAGCCTCATGGGCTTTTTGGGTTAAAGCCCAATTAGGCACATCATTAAGCCCCCCACTCCCAGGTTGAGCCACGGGCCCGTGGGTCTGGCTGGGAGTAATTAGGAATAGTCGCTCGAAGACCAAATAATTTTCTTGTTTTCCTTGAGTTACAAGGTCGTAGGAGATTTTGAAGTCGGCTACAGGGATCTTGCAGAGGCGGGCGCTGCAGTTAGGTGATGATAATTTTTTAAGGGAGGCCCGTACGATCGCCGCCAAAATTATTGGAGGAAGTTGTGATATCCAATTGGCTTTGTTGCCTAGTGAGAATCGCACATTTCCTAAAGAATGAGTTATGTTTCAACTTATCCTGCGAGAGGGTATCCCTTGGCTATATAGCCTAATGGGGGTCCGTCTCTCGTAAAGAATGAGCTTTACTTTATCTTTTAGCGGGGCGAAATTCCTTGGCTTTATTGCCTAGTGGGAAGCACGCATTTGGTAAAGAATGAGTTATGCTTCATCTTTTTCGGTGAGACGGTATCCCTTGGCTATATCGCCTAGTGGGAGGCTCGGCTCTCGTAAAGAATAAGTTTTTATTTTAACTTTTTAGGTAAGGTATCCCTTGGCTTTAACGCCTAGTGGGAAGTCCGTATTTTTGTAAAGAATGAGTTATGCTTCATCTTTTTTGGTGAGATGGTATCCCTTGGCTATATCGCCTAGTGGGAAGTCCGTATTTTTGCACTTGGTGGTTGATTAGACCCTCAAGTTTTTTATGCAGGAAGTCTGCACGTTTACCTAAGTTTTTTGAGGCGGGTAAGACTTCCCTGAGCTTTAGTTGCTCTATTTTTTGGAGTTTTCGGGAGCGAGAAACCAAGGTTCGGGCTGGCCAGACCCTTTGTGATCATTGATATCTTCCCCTTTAGCTTTTTTTGAATCAATTGATTTTTTGTTAAATCGATTGTAGATGCCTCAAACGAGAATGAGTAGAGAAGACAAATGGTTAATGTAGAAATCACGGTGGCGGTATCCCACCGACTAAAATAGTTTATTAAGAATCATGCTGGCGGTATGCCTTGAAAATATTGTGCGGGGCGGTATGCCGCCGACTTATTGCTGAAAATAAATTACATGGGGCCCGCGTGGGGCTATAGTAAATACTAAGTAAAGCATTTCTTCAGGATTGCGATTGTTCTAGTGCCCGTCGTGGACAAGTCTTCCGAGCGCTCGCAAAAGCTGAAAAAACTCCTCAGTAGTGTGACCCCGATCTCTGTGGTATTCACAGTAATCATCCAAATTTTGTTGTTCTGGATTCTCCTTCATCCATCTCGGTAGTTGTAGAATTCATTTATGTTTTATGATGATCATTATGTCAACAAGCTTATCCTTGAGAGGTGAGAACTTCTCGAAGGTGCGATTTTTGGCGGGACGTATCTCTTCTTTTCTATTATAGTTGTGGATTCCCTCATCGCGTTTTTGCTTAAGGAGTACCCTCATTTCTGCAGTCTCCTCAGTCTGAATGTACTTCTCAGTGCGATTCAGGAGCTCCTCTAGGGTCATAGGGGGTCGGCCTGCGATGTACTCTTGATAACGAACATGCTTCAAATTGTATTGCAGTATGTCGGTTAACATTTCGTGATTAAGGAACGGCACTTCATGTACTGCTTTGAGAAGTCGTTGTAGGTAATTCATGAGCGACTCTTTGTCCCGTTGTATGACCTTGAAGAGATACGACCATTTTTGGCGTATTTCTTGCTTATAGAGTATTGGTGATGGAAAATCGTCGCTAGTTGATCCAGATTGTCTATGGAGGATCCGGCAAGCCGTTGAACCAAATTTATACCAGATCAACTTGGTGGTCCGAAAAATCTTGCAGTGAGCTGCGTTACTAAGACCGTAGAGGTCAATCTTGGCGTAAACATTATTCAAGTGATCTCGGGGATCCCCAATTTTGTCGAATTGGGAGATATTGGGATCCTGAATCCGATAAGCAACACTTCTTCCATAATAGCATGAACAAATGGGTATTTCGAATGGACAATGCCTCAAAGTGAGCGGCCGTCGACCTCGAGACTTCTCGTCGAGGACTCCTTGAGTTGCAGTCGTCGGAGCCTGCTCGATGCCTTCTTGTCTCCTGGTGTCGGGAAGCTCTACTTCCGAGTTGGTTTTGTGGGGAGTTTTAGTGGGGGTGCGCATGTTCGCGGTGTCCCCCGCCTCGAGGCCCTTGACGATAGTCATACGACCGGGAATAACCGCTTCTCGTCCGACGGCTTTGCGTCGCTTTCCCTTTAAGGGGCTCAGGCTCTTTGCCTTAGTGGACGCTGTGATTAGCGACGAGTTTCCCTTCGAGGCATGCGGTGTGAGGATGTGCTACGCTGAGGCGAGTGGCGGTGAACGCGCCTTCTGAGGATGTGCTACGCTGAGGCGATGGGTGGTGAGCGTATCTTCAAGGAGCCTGTTCGGAGGAATAACTTTGGCCGTTGAGCGATACTCTTTACTCTGAGACATGGAGATCCAAGATCGGCGGAGTGGTACGGACATGCACGAAATCCGTAGGATCGCTTCCCATATGAATAGTTTCTTCAAAGTCAGTTGTGCTTTGAGCATTGATATACTGAGCTACAACGTCCGTTACTGCCTAAGCTGCTACTTTGGCCACCGTCTTCTCCATTAAGGCTTGTAGTTCCTCTGCAATCATCTAGATGACCGACACTGAAGATCCTGCAAGGTTGGCCGCTCCAATTATTTTTTTCCTTCGAGGTGGTTCTATGACTCCAGCACTACCTTGAAGTGGTTGTTTTGAGATTTCCTTGACCACCTTTATTGGTTGCTCCCGTAGATATTTTACCTCGAGGCAGCTCTGAGACTCCACCGCTACCTTGAAGCGATTAGTTGAGATCGCCTTGACCCTTTTCGTTGGCCGCACCCGTAGTTATTTTGCTTCGAGGCGGCTCTTCCTTCGAGGCAGCTCTGAGACTCCACCGCTACCTTGAAGCGAGTGGTTGGGATCGCCTTGATCCTCTTCGTTGGCCGCTCCCGTAGTTCTTTTGCATCGAGGCAGCTCTGAGACTACACCGCTACTTTGAAGCGAGTGGTTGGGGTCGCCTTGATCCTCTTCGTTGTCCGCTCCCGTAGTTCTTTTGCTTCGAGGCGTCTCTTCCTTCGAGGCAGCTCTGAGACTCCACCGCTACCTCGAAACGAGTGGTTGGGATCGCCTTGATCCTCTTCGTTGGCCGCTCCTATAGTTCTTTTTCTTCAAGGCAGCTCTGAGACTCCACCGCTACTTTGAAGCGAGTGGTTGGGATCGCCTTGATCCTCTTCGTTTGACGCTCCCGTAGTTCTTTTGCATCGAGGCAGCTCTGAGACTACACCGCTACTTTGAAGCGAGTGGTTGGGATCGCCTTGATCCTCTTCGTTGGCCGCTCCCGTAGTTATTTTGCTTCGAGGCATCTCTTCCTTTGAGGTAGCTCCGAGAGTCCACCGCTACCTTGAAGCGAGTGGTTGGGATCGCCTTGATCCTCTTTGTTGGCCGCTCCTATGTTCTTTTTCTTCAAGACAACTCTGAGACTCCACCGCTACTTTGAAGCGAGTGGTTGGGATCGCCTTGATCCTCTTCGTTGGCTGCTCCTATAGTTCTATTGCTTCGAGG